ATACGCCCACGCCAGAGGCGCTCCGGGAGCGGCCGGATCTGCCGCAGCAGAAGATGGCATGGCTCCAACGCCACGACAAAGAGAGCGGGGACTTGTACGGCTTCTTGCCCATCGCTGAAGGCATGCCCGTCGCTCTGACCGATCATATCGATCGAAGCGAGGACAAAAACCTGCTGCGCGGTCGCGTGGGCCCGGTGCAATCCTGGGCATGCGACGGGGACGGCGTCGATGATCGAGTCACGCGCGGCGGGGAGACTATATTGAAGAAGACGCCGAAAGTGAGTTTCGTGTTGTTCGACGAAGGCGATGACGGGAACGGCGGCAGGAAGCCATGCCAGTGGACGATCGAGGGATTGAATACGCCCGGCTTGCACCCCGTGAGTCCGCAGAAGAAGGATTGGTTCGTGGACAAGGGCCGTCCGCATCCGCGACTGAAAGTCAAAAGACAGCAGTTCCCACTGGCCCCGGCCTTCGGAGTGATGGCCCACGCGGCGCAGGGGCAGACGTTCAAGCAAGGTGTCATAGTGGACCTGAGCATCGGCGGGGGCACGTCACCTCTGTCGAGCTACGTGGCACTGACGCGGGTGCAGCGTCGCGAGGACATGCTGATCTTTCGTCCTTTCGATATTGCGCCGTATCAGAAGAAGGACGAACGGACGGGCCCGGACTTACTGCTGCGCACGTTGCGCGGAGAAGAATTGGACTGGGGGGCGATAGAGCGGGAGTTCATGCCGTCTGGCAGGTGCGCGGTCTGCGGTTGCACGAAGTACAAGAACATGTACCCAACAGTCGGGCAGTGGAGCCGCGCAGACGGGCTCCGCGTGTGCAGCGTGTGCCTGGAAGATAAGAGGAGGGCGGGCACACCGTGGCAATGCATGGAGTGTGGGCTATGGAAGTGCCAGGAGGCTTTCCACGCGTCACAGCACCACTCGTCGAAGTTGACGACGCGGCGCTGCGTGGACTGCCCCGAGAGACGGTGATGCCGCGTGTGCGAGGATCGGAAGTACGCTGGAGCGTTCG